TAACATGATGCAACATGATGTGCCACGGGTAGACTGCCTAACCTGTGGGACGCAGCAGCGGATCCGCGCCCACCAGAACATCTGGGCTATGTGCCGTTGTGTAGCGAAAATGTACTAGTCGAGTACACCTTGCGCTTACAATTTTGTGTGCACCTTTGTCCTGCTGGTTCCATCTAAAGGCGACATGTGACATTCCTTGCAAGTAGACTGCATCTACTGGGAGATGCAGCGGCTTTGTACGCCCAGATAACTCGTCGCTGCTTTTAAATTTTAAACATGATGCCACATGTGACGTGACGTGTATTTTTTCCACGTCGGAACCAGTGCAAGAAAGTATCAGCTTCTTCGCCAAGCAAGACTTGTATCTCCCCTAAGAACACCGAATATAGCTTTGTATTCCTACCCTACTCCGCTGCTATTCGATTGAATCTTTTGTATATGTTGTGCACTCGTTGCACCCTCGTTGCCAAGGATCAATAATCTGGTTCGAAGTGGCTGTCTCTTTTACAGCAGTTCAAGAACAGCGTGCATGTGTGCGCGCGAACATGGGTCGCTCTCTCAACCCCAGCAAAGGAAACAACTAACTCCAGCACAGGAAATCGCACCAGTACGGAGACAGCAAGTACGTATACCACTGCTGTGGCCGGCTGCTCCTGCAGTGCTGTGTCGCGTTCGGAGCGTATGGGGGTGGGGTTTGGGGAGGGAACACATCCAAGCCAACAAACCGCCTCTCTCTAGAAAATCAGAACATAACCCTTGCGCGGGGAAAGACTCACCCGCCCTTGCCAGCGCCAAATCGTAAGTAGGAGGCCACTTCGTGCTCTTCCTAACCCTAGCCTGCTTTGCTGCTGGTGCTGCCACGACTTGGACATCGTCTTCGCCTATGCCATGAGCTATACAGCAGTACCACGTGGTTGCCCGCGTAGCAACCACTCTATTGCGTTCGTAGCAGCTCTCAACTGCTGTGCTCCTTCTCGGTTACGAACCGCAGAGCAGCGTCGATGTACAACCGCCTCCTCCATGGAGGAGCAACCGTGTGCATCAACAGGTACAACCACACATCATGCGCGCACGCATCACATACTGAATCGTCATCACAGCAGTTGCTGTACGTCTCTCTTCGCTCGTACTCCTTCTCTGTCTCTCTGTCTTGTGCTCGAATTCACCACGCTGACTCTCCACAAACTGCTGCTGGGGCACGGGACAACTGTCTACTACCATAAGCGCCCAGCGTGGGTCGAGGTTGAGCTTACGACCGGCAAGGGGAGGGAGAGCACTGTCAAAATACAGCCCTTCGAGGACAAAATGGTATGGGTGCCCTACTGCAGAGGGGTAGCGGTCAGCGGCACGTACATCGTTAAGCAGTGGCCTTTCATGGTCGCTGCTTGCATGACCGTACACAGAGTGCAAGGGGTAGGGTTCGAAAGGGTGGTCGTGTGGATAGCCTCTAGAGGGTTCTTCGGCCAGGGTCAGGGGTATACCGCCGTGTCCAGGGGGAAAACTCTAGACGGCCTGTTCCTCGTGTTACCAGACGATGTCTTGCAGGACAGAGAGTTAGCAAGAGAGTTCCTCAAGGAGGCGTTCCAACCGCCCATCGATGCCATCAACGCTCTAGCCGACATGCGACAAAAGGCACCGGCCACTGTTACGGTTAACGTGAGGGGTAGGGGAGTTGCGTACGCTACGCTGTGGGACGAAAGACGGTCATACTACGCCCCAGACGGGTGGGCGGGTGTGTGGCCTGGAGTTCTGTACAACGGTTTAGGTGGGGCAACACGTGTCGAGGGGGAGTATGCACTTGCTGAACGGTCGAACAATTATTCACCTTGTTGTGCAATAAAAGGAGAGGAGAGGCACACCGGTGTGTGACGAAGCACATAATAAGGACTCGAAAGGGGGAACATGACGCTGCTGCGGACAAACTGCCTTTGAGTACATGCGAGCAACACGGCACTCCTGTGACGCACACTGCACGACGCTCGGAACCCCGTTAAGTGCCTTCGAGCGAAGCGAGTCACACAACACTGTGACCGCACACTGCACCGCGCCCGAAACCTCGCCAATTGCCTTCGAGCGAAGCGAGTCACACGGCACTGTAACCGCACACTGCACCGCGTCCGGAACCCCGTGAAGTGTGTCTGCGAGCGAAGCGAGTTACGATGCCACTTTGTCTTACTCCAAAACCATTACACGAACAACAACACACCAAACCAGGCAATGAATTTTTTGGCGGTAACCATAATGGTGGTCGAGTAGATCATGTTGTGCGAGGTGGAGAAGCCTCACTCCGCGCAAGGGGGATGATCGCACCACGTTATGTGAAATTGGTCAAGCACCCTCGAGGCAGTTACACAGTGCTTAAAATTGTCTCTGGAAGTGAAGAATCACAAAATAAATTAAGTCATACGCAGCTGTCATCCGTACGCAAGGAAGTATGCACATGATGCCGAACACCCTTAGCAGGATGCAGCGCACCCTTCATGCGACTCGCCGAATACCTCACGGCGCTTCGCGCTTGGTGATGTGAGAG